ATGAACGGGGCAGCTACCGAACAACCTCGGTTTAATCCCAGTCTACCGTCGCTAAACTTGGTGGTTTTTCCTATGTTGTACTGTTCCTACATAGAGATGGACATACTTCGCATTTACTCTGAGACCTGTTGCTTCTGGCAAAATTATAGACTTATGTCTGTGTCCAAGTTCACAGTAAACTTAGAGGACGAGCCGGGGTAGGAGACGATGTCCCCCCGCCCTGACTACGGGTTAATAGGGTTATAACAGTCGCGGCTGATTCAAACTAAATGGGAAAAACCACTTAGTGNGATATTGATTTGTGCATTAATATTGCAATGTTGATACCATTTTGCCGATATCCATGCAACCAATCGCTTGTTTCTGTTTCGTCTCGTCCTCTGTAGGAGCTGGAGGGCCTGAGCTCCAGGGAGGTTCAGAGGATCCGCCTGCCCGTCACTCAGGGGGGGGAGCTGGACGCTCTGGCTGTCTGGTTCCAGCTCCACCTGGACGAGGACAGCAGTCTGTCCACCGGACCAGAGGAGGACACCTGCTGGGAGCAAGCCATCTACCCTGTCCACAGCACCAAGGGTGAGACTCAATAGACTTACAGGGAGACGCAAGGGCAAACATCTACGTGTGTTGTCTTGTGTCCAATGAGCATGGTCCATGTGTTACAGTGTGGCCAGGGAATTGTCCTTGAATTGTTTTTGACTTCTAATAACCTTAGCATGTTTAGAATAGCTGCAATAAAGTTGATTTTATTATCAGCTCAGCTTGCCTGCTGTGATTCATCCTGCATTTCCATGTTACATCAGATGAGGGCAGTGTGCGTTGTAGACTACAAACAGCACTAAAGATGGTTAACTGTTAAATAATGCCAAGAACATTTGGAGGAAATAATCACTACTATTTTATAGGGTGCCAGAAACTGACCATGATCAAAATCGAAAATCGGACAGCCCTGGCGAATAATAATCGATTATTAATACTATTATTATTATTATTAGCATTAGTCTATATTTTGGTTGAAACTAAGCCAGAAAAAAAAAAAAATACATAAATAATAATACAAATATATATAAATAAAATAGATTTTTTTAAATAATATTCGATTATGGAGACTGTAACGAATAATCGAATAATCACTGGCATCCCTAGTGCCTACTACCTTACGAATAGAGACTTAGCTGATGATAAATGTATCTGTTCTTCAAACGAGCGCTTTATGTACTGTTAAGCTTGTCAAAATGTCATAAATGGTGTCTACATTTGGAAGATATATGACTAATGTCAGAAAAGGATTGTCTTCATTGAGCTGGCAGTGCCTAGAAGGAAAGGTAATGCTGAGAAGGAAATAGACAGACATGGGTTATAGTTTTAGGGATTGAAATGAATGAGAAAGAAGGAGTATGGAGGTAACTTGTGAAGATGGATACGACAAGTAAGTCGCTCTACGCTTAATGAGTGGGGAAGATGGAGTAGAGAAGTGACAGAGTGAGAAATGAAGATGGAGTTTGGCCAGTGGACAGGATGCACAAGATCCACTGGCTGACTGAGTGATCCAGGAGAGGAGAAAGAAAGGAAGCCCAGACTGATGGAGCATGTGGCTACCTGCTTTGTTGGGCTGATTGATGGTGGACAGGTTAGAGAGGTAATGCAGGTCAGGGTGGTTTAATTTAGACACTTAAAACTTGCTTAGCATAGGCTAATTCTCTATGACCTTCTCTGAGTTGTTAGAGAGATTTCACATTATATCCCCATTAATCATGTTGAGTTAACTCACACCAGCTGGATACCACAGTGTTACAGAACTGCTAGTCCATGCTGCGATAACAAATAATGTTGATGTTTAAAGAATGACCTTTGAAGTGTCCTTTCGTTAAGTGCACCGTGATGCCATTTCCCCCATAGAAAGCGCAGGGTGAGGGCTGTTAGCGGTATTAACAATAATTGTGTAAGGAAAGGGGCTGATGCTCGAGGATGGAGGCGTAAACACACAGCTGTGGATACCATGGGTGCATATTAGTTGTGTTTATACTAGATTAGTATCTGGACAATAGGCGCTTTCACACCAAGTACTTTGCCGTACTTAGTTAATCAAAGCTTAGTTCATCAAAACTAAAGAGCAGATCGCATTCACACCGGAATAAGTCCCTGAGGTAGGGTTAGGCAAATGAAGCCGCTGACGTCACTTCTTCTTCTTCGTCTGCTTTGGGTTTGCTGGCAGGCCGCAAACAACTTCACGGCGGATACTGCCACCCGAAGTCCCCGGCGTTGGGGACTGGCTTCAGTAGAAAATGATAATAATGCTAATGAGAGGATAATAAAATGGCGGCTTCACAAAACATTTTTTTAGTTTTACGGGGCGTGGTTTGCAATCCGCCCAGCCAATCAGACCTCATTCACACCAACGGTGTTTCAGGGCCGGTTTGGAGCTGGAGCTTTTTAAAGCACCGGGTTTTCCTGTTAACACCGCAGCGGAGCAGCCTCTTAGCTCCGGAATCCAGTTTGTTTCAAGCACCAGAAAATTGTCCGGCCAGAGCAAAAGCACCGCATACGTCACGCTTACGTCGAGGCGGGGGCAGGGGCGGGATCAACTCCTGAACAACAACAAAAAGCTGGCGTTTTATCCAGTTTGTACACAACGATTGAGAAACTTAACAAGCAGCAGTTGTCCACTGAAGAGACCAGCTACCTACTGGGAATCTGGTCTTCCGAAGAGGTACAGAGGAAGCTGGAGCACAATCGGCCATTGTTGTTGTTGTCGGTTTCAGCTGTGAGGGGTTTCCGCGCGGTTTGGCTTTATGAAGCAGGCACGCAAACGGTTACGTCAGGACGCAAACGATGACGCAATAATGACGCAGCACCAGTCGGACTCTGGGCAGTGTGCAAAGAGCCCGAGCTAAACCGAAGAACCGGTTCTGAACCTGAAAAGCTCTAGCACGGAGCTTGAACCGGAGTTGCGTTGGTGCGAATGAGGTACTAGAGCATTTTTTTAAACAGGGCTGAAACAGAGGGGATTATGGGATGCTACAAAGTAGGACCGCACGATATTGGAAAAAACGGACTTTGCGATATATTTTTCCCCCCCTGCGATATATATATTGCGATATGAAAAAATACTTCTTTTTTTTTTCGCAAACCATGCTTTCTTGAAACCCTTTTTCTACACACACATATTGAATTCGTAGTTTTAATTATTATTAATGTCCTGTGTACACCTATCACATACCAAATGTTTAACAAAAAAATTAAAAAGGGTCAAGTCCAGGTGTATAAGAGAGAAAGGTTATTTATAGGTTGACAAACGTGGGGGTGTGACTTCGGCATAATGTAAAAACCATTTGATACCGAAAAAGACTTAACTGAATAAATAGAACCCTGATGCGTTTATAAATGTTGTTTCGTCGAATCGCCAACTCGCTCTTCTAAACATATATTTTTGTTTTGTATCCTGTTGTACCTGTCCTACTTTATTCCATTTTTTTATTTGACATGTAATAATTTATTTGGTTTAGTCTGTCCTTTTCTCATGCGGGGACACCACTCGTTTCGGCAACATGTACAACCTACAGAGTGGGTGTCCTGACCACGTCGCTCATATCGAATTATAACTGTGATCCATTCCCTACATGCAAGAAGGACAGAGCCCCCACTGCTACCCTTGGTCGAGATTGCAGAGTTTGTGGTGGTCCCACACTGGTCGGTCTTTCGGTGCCCACTGCCCTCATGTCCTAGTAGAGAGCGAAGCGTGCGAGGACAAGAGAGGAGTGTCTACGCTTCAGAGCCAAGTTTGAACTACTCGACGTCTGTTTAATGTGTATTTTGATAAGGAGTCGTGTCACCGAGTCCCTAATCGAGAGCGTGGGTATGCATCTTTATGACAAATAAACAATGCCAATCGTCGACATAAGCTATTTATCCGAGTTGTTGGAACAAGTTAGTCCTGATAGTCTTTCATTCTAGTATCACCCTTTATAAGGATGGTTTGACGTTTACTATCGTTCATTAGTAAGGTTTATTAAACTACCCTTATTAATAATACGTTATGCAATATGGACCACCAAACCTCGTTGGTGTAACAAAAAAAAATACATATTCAGGGGAAATAAGACAAAAAAGTAATTGAATATAATCCAGAGTCTATATAGTTTTTGACAAATCACAAACCGGAAGCTTTATGATTTGTACTAGTACGAATACATCACTCCGCATGCTATACAGAACCAAACACTGCTATTAGGCTATACGCGTACGTCCTGCAACCGTTAAGAAATTGTAATTTTTTTATATATTATAAACAAAAGTTTTTATAATAAATAAAAATCCTGCCACGCTATAATTCAACCGCTTTACTTGAGTTTGGTGCAGTACAATGTTAAAGAAACGACGAACCGATGTTTTTCCCTTTTGACGCGAGAGTACACCCCCATGACCTCACTCACTGTCGTTGGTGTTTAAGTGTAAAGTTTAGAGATTCGTTGTCCCCTGGGCCCTAATTTCCATTTTTGGCCTTAATTTCAACGAGTACCTAAAGAAGGTCAGCCGCGACGAATTGGCTCGATCGAGTCGGAACAACGAGCTATTGAATTCTAGGTCTGCATCACTGATGTAGAAGTAGCCAATTTATACAATCTTTATGGTTAAA